TGAACTGCCTTCGTCAAATATTGTGTGCGCTAGGAGGATTAATCGCTTTTTTTCAAAATTTTTGATTTTTCCTTGACAACGCTATGTAAATTAATCCGAATCATGTTCGCTATATTTTTCCTGTAATTTTCACGTAAAAATACATAAGTGTACCAAATTTGAGCTCTCTATCTAAAAAGATGTGGCAACCAGGGGGGGGGGTACATAGTCATTTTTAGGGATTTTTCGTAAAAATTCATGGTTTTTCCTTGACAACGCTATGATAATTAATTCCTATGAGATTCGCTATATTTTTCCTGTAATCTACACGCCAAAATACATATGTATACCAAATTTCAGCCATCTAGATAAATTCGTGTGGCCGCTAGGGGGGGGGGTACATGCCTTGCTTCACTAGTCTCATTAATAGGGTTCCCCCTTCGGGTACGGAACCCTAAAAATAAAAAAATATATCGTTGGAAAGGTAAAAGCGTCAGCTTTCAGCGTATGTAAACATCGAGATTGTAAATTCAAACCTCTGACAATGAGCTGGGTAGGATAAAGAAGTTGAGCCATTTTATAGGGTTTATTTAGAAACAATTAGAGTTCATTCTTTAGACGTTTCTGAAGAAAAGAAGACTAATAGGCAAAAAAATATTTGTTTTCGCAGATTTTACATTAAATTTACAAAAGAATGCTTTTGACTTATTACAAACATAGGAAGTTTGACGGGTTTGAAAGTTTTCGTTTTTTTGTCTAATTTAATCCCAAGGGGTGACGGAAAGAAAAATTGAATTTCCTTTTTCAAAACCCTTGTCAAAAGGTAATTAATTTTTATTGTTACATAATTACTAATTTTTAAATATAAAATATGAGAATATTTGTGGTATTTAGTCTATTTAATTAAATACAATTTTTAAAATTGGTACAAAAATCGATATAATCATTTTATAAGACGAAGAAATAGTTTATTACTTAATAATAATAATAATAATGTAAATAAAAATAAATAATAGATATCATTTACACTACCGTCCGAAATTGTGCGAACTCTGCTTTTTCAACAACTATAAAACTGTTCAAATCTTCAAGAATATTAAAACTAAAATTTTTTCCTCTTTATTTTATTAAAGCTAATAAAATTCTGAAAGAAATGACACCTTGACAAAGAGAATATGATAATTTTTCAATTAGATATCTAAGAAAAACCCAATTTTCAATGTTTTTACTATTTTTTTTATTTCTCTGGCAAAAATTAATATTTTTAAACGTTCTTAGGCTCATTGAAATCGTATTTTGTTATGCAATTCAAATTATATAAAACAATTCATGTACACATTCCTCCCTAGCGTATGCAAACCGTGAAAGTTGGCTCATAAAATGTCAAAAAATTGTGATTAATATTTATATGACAAAAAATGATCAGTAAAATGTATAAATCTTAAATTTACTTACATAAATCAGAGAAGTTTAGAATGATATATTTACTTGATTTTTAAACATTATATTTTATTGTAGAATTGAATTTAAATTTTTTGACATTTTATGAGCCAACTTTCACGGTTTGCATACGCTAGGGAAGAATGTGTACATGAATTGTTTTATATAATTTGAATTGCATAACAAAATACGATTTCAATGAGCCTAAGAACGTTTAAAAATATTAATTTTTGCCAGAGAAATAAAAAAAATAGTAAAAACATTGAAAATTGGGTTTTTCTTAGATATCTAATTGAAAAATTAACATATTCTCTTTGTCAAGGTGTCATTTCTTTCAGAATTTTATTAGCTTTAATAAAATAAAGAGGAAAAAATTTTAGTTTTAATATTCTTGAAGATTTGAACAGTTTTATAGTTGTTGAAAAAGCAGAGTTCGCACAATTTCGGACGGTAGTGTATAAATGAAAAAGTTTAAACTAGCTTCTAACCTTTGTTGTTTAATAAAGAACTAAATTAACGAGATGAAAAATAAATGATCATAGGAAGGTCAATAAAAAGAAATCAAAATACTTTCTTTTCAAATAGCGACGTTTCGTTGGCTCAGGTTTGCCAACCTCTTCAGGCTTAAATAAGGAAACAAAACTATTTTTAATAAGACAACAACAATTTATAACAAATTTCGAATGAGTGATTAATAAAAATAGTTTTGTTTCCTTATTTAAGCCTGAAGAGGTTGGCAAACCTGAGCCAACGAAAAGTCGCTATTTGAAAAGAAAGTATTTTGATTTCTTTTTATTGACCTTCCTATGATCATTTATTTTTCATCTCGTTAATAAAATATGGAAGGATATAACTCAAATATACAAAGAACTAAATTCTTGGGAGTAATATAATTTTAATAAAAGAATTCGACGCCCCCCGTTCATAAAATGTTAACATAAATGTCAAAGCAAGATAATTCTAATTGAAAAACAAGTGCAATATAAAGTTAACAATAAAAATTCTGCAAGATAATTCTTTTTCAATATTCACTGCAAGACAATTCTAATTCAAATTTGCGTGCAATATAATAACACGTGAAGCTGCGGACAATATAATTCCATCAAAAATGTTAATGCAAGACAATTCCAACTTCTGACAACGTAAAACAATGCTCACTCAACCTCAAAATAATAAAAACCTCTAAAAATAATCTTAACTTATAGTTTTTGCCATTATCGGTTAACTATAAACGCATTTATATCAGATTATTTAATAATAAATTATTTAATTAATTTACATGATTCTTTTGATATAATATTAAATTATTGTCAACTAAAAGGTAACATGTTTCGTAAATTTTTTTTATTCTGTTTACTTTTAATTGGATTTCTGAATAGAAAATTTATTAATCTATTTATATAAACTCAGTTTTATCATTTGATGCATATTGTACTTTTTAAAAATAAGTCTATTATAAAAGAATACAAATTTAATTGAATAATAGTTGGAATAATAATTTTTATATTTATTAATTAATTTAGAATATGTTTTAAATATATTAGGTATATATAATTTTTTATTTATAAAAAAATTATTTAAATGAAAAATAATAATATATTACCTTTTTTTATTTTATGAAAATAATTAGGTATAATAATACTTACTGAATGCAATGCAAATTCTTCGCCGATTTGAATTTAAAGTATTTAAATTCATAAATAAGATTATGCAAACCGAAATAGAGTATTCTTAAAAAATCAAAGGCTTATTCTATTTTCAAAAATATTATTTCTTCAATGTTTGATACTTTTTTTTAAAAGAGAAATTTCTAATTTACATAATTTTTCTTTATAAGCAAAATTAACAAATTTAAAGAATAAATTGACGCAAAAATGTATTAAAATCGTGAAAATCAACATTTTATTTAAGTATTTCGTCCATTAGGCTAACTTTATATTACTTTTAGTATAATAACGGATTATAATTATACTATAAAGAATAAATTACTATAAATGTATAATAGAAATTTAAAAACGAAAATAATTGCAATTATAATTATAAATTAATTCACAATCAAATCTAAACGTTTTTTCCTAGTAATTTCGTCGATTTTAAATATAAAATTCTGTCTTGCATTTATAATGAAAACAAAATCTTAGGTAGTTTATATAAAGATTAATATTTAAATATTTATTAAAATATTAATAATTTAATGGCTTGTTTCTCAAAAATGCATAATCTATAGATTATTTCTCTCTCAAATTTTAAATCGACAAATTTGCAATTCTACTTTAGGATTATAAGCAATAAATAATTATTAATGCGCTTTGAATTTTTTAATTCTCTTCGTCACTCGAATCTTGATTGTTGGTAACAGTGTTTCTTTCTCCAAAAGAGTGATAGTAATTGTGATATTGTGGTGGAATAATGTTTGTATTACATAAAGTTTTAAAATCTTTTAATTTTGCAGCAGAAATTCCTTGAAGGCTCGTATATGCGGCTCTAGGAAAATACTTTTTGACATTTACATGGGATTTTTCTTTTCTTATCACTAAAGTTTCGAAATTTGAGTCAAATGAAGTTTTGTAAAGCAACTGATTCTGATTTTCATGCGAAGCAAATATTTGTCTCAATTTAGAAATTGGTAGAGGTATCATTTTTAATTTATTCTTATTTTGCACAGACTGTAACCAATTCATCTGAGCCGACAAATGCTTAAAGTCAAAAATCATATCAAACGTCACGTTTATGACTTTATAGTGTGGTTTTGTTAGGTTGAGTCCACAATAGACCACGTTAAACAGATCAGCTTTGCAAGATATGCTTAAACACCTTGTTAAGAGAATTATCTTGCTTAGCTCGTTGCCAACTTGACAAAACCAAAAAGGTAGTGTTTCGTTCCACGTTCCTCTTGATCCGACCGGACGATTTTATATTCAACGTGAAAAATAATTTTTACATATAAATAGTGTTAGTGTTGAATTACCTAAAAAGTGTAATTGTTTACAACATTTGACCTCTTATTAAACGTAAGTAACTTTTGGATTTATAATGTATTAAATGTCCATAAAACAAACATAATTTTAAATGTAGGATATTAATATTGTGTTAACCGAAGTATTTCGTTTGGTTTGTTCTGGATATTTTCTAATGCTTAACCCTTTAACATAACCTAAAATTAAAGCTGCAAATTTGTTGTCAAACGTAATAATTAATAAAGATTTTACTCTCTGAAATAATGTTTACAATTCTCTTTGTTAAATTATATGTTTTAAAATTTTGTTTATACGTTATTAAATGAACAAGTTTTATTTATTTAAAAAATCTAGATTTTGAACACAATTTTTTAAATAAAATAATATTTTAATTACAGGCCATTAAAAATTATGAATATCTTCATAACCATTATAAATGTCATCACTCAATGGATGCATATAGTACAACTGTTCTTACAATTGTTCGATGATTCGTCCGTTTTAAGACGTTGGTGGGTGAAATTTCACATAAGGCCGGCTATGAGAAATTTATTTGGTGCCTACCAACGGTTATTTTTATATTATATGCATCAGGACCATGAAGAGTTTTATAACATGACTAGGATGACTCCAGATGAATTTGAAACACTCCATGATTTAATTGGCTCTCGACTAAATAAGACGAGTTTAAGAGAGCCCTTGCCGTCCAGACTTAGACTTTGTTTAGTCTTAAAGTAAGAATATGTACATACTTTATATATTTATTTTATAGTTAAAAATTTTTTAAAAATTTTTTGTTTCTCCCCTTATATAAAAATGTATTAAGTCATATTTTCATAATATTATTTGAGTATGTTTTTTAACAGTGTACTTGCTAATGGTGACAGCATACGAACTACTCAAAATTTGTTTCGAGTTGGACGATCAACAATATACCACATGATAGAGGAAGTTTGTACTGTCATTTGGGAAGAACTCTCACCTTGGTATTTGAGAAATAGAAGCACAAGAGAATGGAGAGTGATTGCTGCCGGATTTCAAACTAAATGGGATTTACCGCATTGCATTAGAGCGATAGACGGAAAGGAGATTGCCATCAAATGTCCACCACATACCGGGACTTTATTTTACAATTACAAGAAGTTTTTTAGCTTCAAACTTCTTGCTATTTGTGATGCTAATTGTCGTTTTACTTGGGTCGAAGCTGGTGACTGTGGTAAGAACTTTGTTTCAAATATAAAAACGTAATTAATTAAATTAATGTTAATCCCTGAAAAGCAATTGAAATAAAAAACAGATTAAGAATTAAAATAAAATTTAAAAAACATTAATGTCAAGGACAATTCAGGGAATTGAAATGGCCAGTCAAGTATCGGGAGAAATTAAATTGTTTTCAAAGCAAATGTGAATTAAAAGATTGATTTTATTATGTAATTACGTTTACTTGTTACGCAGGTTCTCAAAGTGACCTAGCATCTTTCCGAAATACGGATTTTTACGATGCCCTAGGAAAAAACTAATTGAACATACCTCCGAGCTCAAGACTACCGAGTTCAAACATCAGGATGCCCTATTTTTTTATTAGTGACGAAATATTTACCGCACAAAGTTCCTTAATGATCCCATTCGCTCGTCGCAGACCGCTCACTGATGCTGAAAGGCATTATAATTACAGGTATTTGCAGTGATTATAACATTGTCAGGAAAATATTATTTATTTATAACTATAATGAGAGTAAAGAGTAAAATAACTGACATTAAATTGGTTCCTTTTTCAGAATATCAAGAGCTCGACATACTATTGAAGCTGCTTTCGGAATTTTAACGGCTATGTGGCAAATTTTAAAGAATTCGTTGAACTTCCACTTGGATACAAACATAAAAGTTGTTTTGGCCACTATCTGTCTGCATAATTTTATTTTAACAAGGAAGTTGCAAAGGGGAGAGACTATAGACATCCCTGTATTCAGTAGTAATCCAGGTAAGAAGTTAATTATAATCATTGATACAAAGTAATTTATATGCAAATAAAATCTCATTTAACATAAAGTTTTTATATCGCATCGTGTACTTCATTGGCAGGATTCCTGGCATCCTTGATTTTTTTTAGAATTAAAATATTAATAAATGTACAATTTTTTTCCTATTTATATATATCTATTGTAATTTTTAAGGCCAGAAGAGGCATACAAAAATTTTTAAAAAACATATTCCCCAGTAACAGACTGTATTTTCAAAAGGTTAATTTTAACTGATTTTATTTGCAACAGTTTTAAATGTCAAAAAATAAATTAGTTAAGTACAGAAAAAAAATGTACATTTTACGAAGTAACTTGTATTATTATATTCCATGATTTTAGATGACAGAGCTAGGAATGAGGAAGAGGATCAAGATGAAGAAAACGAGAGAATTCCAAGAAATCCGATTGAGCAGCTTCAATTGTTGATGACTTATTTAAATTCCGATGCTGGCGCAATGCGTAATTAGAAGATAAATTCGGTATTAATTTGATTTTTAAAACAAATTATGAAAATTATAAAAATACTTTTTTTGTACATATATATTTTAGTAATAAGTATAATTTCAAACCCCTTAATTAAATTATGAATAAAAAATTAGATTAATAAAATTAAAAATTGCACAACGAATAAGGTTAATTTTTTAACAATTTTAAGAGATTTACTTGAAATTCTTTTGCATTATTTTTTGGGTCGTCAATTACGAATCTGACAATGAATTCGCAAATCTCAATTTATTACCTAAAATAATCCTGATTAATCATATTTATTTTAAAACATTGTTATTATTATTATTAATATTAAGAAAATGTTATCTAATTTTTGTTATTTTATTTTCAAGAACAACATTTAACATTTTAATATAATATAAAATTATCGATATTTTGTAAATTTAGAATGGTGATTATTTAAAATATTTAAAATTAATTTTTTAAACGATTTTCTTTAGCACTTCTAATTAATCTTCGAATTGCGAAAAAACACTCTCCTTGCTTATCATCAGGAACTCTCCGAAACGTGTTCTCGATTACATGATAGAAATCATTATCTACTTCTATTTTGCGAGCAATGTTTTCGATTTCTGCATCTGGTTCGCTCGTAGTACCCCCGATTGATGCCCCCGCAGTACAAGAAACGCCTCTCTTTGACTGAAGAATATTTATTTCTGAAAAAAATATGCACAACTTAATCGAAAAAAATACCAAATAACTATGAAAATTTTAAAACCCTAAAAAATCATGACCTTCCACAATTTTTTTTAATTGTACAGCCGGATACTAACCTTCCACATTTACAAGAGATTCATCAGAACATGACGCACCATGGATCTCGCGAATATCTACCAGATTTTCTTTTGGTTTTCTGTAACAACTTATTGCCCTGAAAAAGAAGGATTTATTAAAAATCACACAATATCATAAATTAATCGTTGGTTTTTCAAACTTCAAATTATTATTTTTCAAAAATTTAATTGAAATTAAAATATGAAAATTTGATATTTTAATAATTTTCTATATAGGTAAAAATAACAATAAAAACTTACGCGCTTTGTTTAGGACTATTTTTTAAAAAAGACATCATCTCAAAATAAGCGAAACCTCCTGCCGTTTCTTCTGGAGCCGCTGAACCCGATTGGGTGTAAGCATTTCTTGCTTTATTTTCATCTTCGAATAATTGTCTTAATTTTTCCCAAGAGCTTTGAATATGTTCGGCTAAATAAAAATAGGAAAAATATGGTACTATGCGATTTTTTTTACATGTAATATTAGGTGTTGTCATTCATATAAACGTAAAAGTTTTGCAATACTGTGATTGCCCCCCCAAAAAAAAGTCTGTATCCGCCCCTTTGTTTATTTTCAAATTCAAAGTAACCGAACTTCTCGCGCCGAATATTAGCTCTTGTAAAACATAATGCAATTTAAATATTTATATACAGTTTCAGTTGCATATTTTAAAGCATTCTGTTAACTAAACATTCTTTAGACATGCTGTAACGTCTGTGTAAATATGCGTTTACTTACGTGTTGTTTCGATGTTAGCTATTAAACTAACATTGGTAGCAATATCCTGCCATGCATCTCTTCGCTTGCAGTTATCTTTATAGAACTTGGAAGTCTTATCATTTAAGAATCTTTTTCCAGAAACTAACTGAATCAAAACTTCATTAAATAAGTTTTCCGCGGCGTCTACTTGCATATTGTTCATTTATTTATTTATTTTCATAAAATTTCAAAACCACTTAAATTGACGACGCGTATACATACTTCTATACATGCTCTGAGGTGCTCATATAGGAACATATATATATACATTTGATCAGTGCCGAACATAGAGAGGGTTAAGAGGGGCAGGTCACCTGTTAATCGTTTTTCCGAGGGTGGCCTCCAAAAGAAAACAAAAAAATATCATAGCAATAAGTATAGATGTAAATATCAATAACCTCTTTTTTAGTTATCGTTTAGGTAATTGAGTGTTTGAGGGCCTTTAATTACCATTTTGTCCCGGGATACATTTATTTTAATCCGGTACTGAAGTGGATTGCGCACAAGTAAATGCGCAATAAAACCTAACTTAACCTTTCTTATACGCCATTTTTCGCAACGTTTCTCAGACCTTTTTCAATCTTATACGTGTTTAATTTTAAAATGAATAAGAAAAAAAATGACGTCGTTGCTGCGGACAGATTGTTTATAACAATAATTAAAAGCAATCGTTGGATTTATGACCCTCAGTTAAACAAAATTTATGATAAAGATGCAAAGCAACGAATGTGGAACAATTTGTCGAAACTGTTGGCAAGGCATGGACTTAACATTGTTGGTGAGTAAACTATTAATCTTTTTATTTATTTATTCATTCCGTCCGCACTTAGTAAATTAATTTGTAATAAATTTTGTGACAAACTTTTGTAATTTTACTAAATTCATTACGGTAACATTACGTTTGTTTAAAAATTTTCAGTTCAAAATTTAATTTACTTGATTATGTATAAAAAGTTCTTATTTTAAAAATAAATAATTATTATTTCAGATCCAATTAATAAGTGGAAGCGTTTCAAGGCGAATTTCACAACTCACAATAGAAATCGAAATATTGGCTGGGTATACTTTACTGATCTGTGCTTTTTGCAACCCTTCATCAAACAAAGAATAAGGTATGTCTAAGAATCGGTATTTAAAATTTTAATTTATATCAGGTCTGGAATAATTTAAATCCAAAAAATTTTTTTAGTAAAATTTTTAAAAATGTTTCTTTACAAAAGTTTTAAAAAATATCATACTAAAAATTTTGAATCTTAATTAAAACAATAAACAATATTAAGCAGTTTAAAGTGGAAATAAATTTCACATGCAATTTTTTAAAAAATGATATATCCATTTTTCAACAAAGGAAAAAATTAATTATTTTATGAATCGATCTGTCGCTGTTAAATTTAAAAAAAAAATTTGTTATTTAAGAATTTTTAATTTCAAAAACATTTGTGCTCAAAATAGATAATTTATAATTTTCATTTTTGTATTAAAACAAAAATTACCACAACCTTTAAATAATATACTTATAATAAATTTCAATTTCAAAACAAAAATCTTAAATGCAAAAAAAATTATAATATAAATAATTATTAAATTTTATCAAAGTAATTAAATTAAAATTGAAAAAATTAAAAAATTGTCATGTCACTTTTGTAAATGAAAAAATTTAAATTAGTTAAATTTTAAAAAAATTGTTCTCATTTTTAATCTTTTTTTTGTAATGACTATTTTATTATAAGTGCGTTGAGTTACAATTTAATACTTTTTTAGTTTAATATTACGTTATATTCCGCTTTTTACAATAATTATTTTAAAATGATTTTTCAGAAAACCAAAATTGTGTCATGGACAGTTAATGTTTAACGAACAATCTACGTCAAGTAACGATTCAATTATGTACCTTGAAGGTTGTTATTAAAATTATTATTTTAAAATTGTACTTTAAATTTAAAACATTTTTAATATTTGTTAATTTCCTTCTTTTATTTAAAGATGGAGTGATTATGAATAATTATGACAATATGTCTCAATTGACACATCAACCAGTTTTCAACGAGGAACCAAGCACGTCCAACGATGAGTCAATGCTGTACTTAAATGAACATGATTGTGAGTATAAGTAGTATATATTTAATTATAATAATATTTAATTAAAATTATTAGGTCTATTATGATTTAAATCAAAAATATTTTTTTATTATAATTTTTAAAAGTATGTTTTAACAAAAAGTTTTTAAAAAATATCATACTAAAATTTTTGCATTTTAAAATAAGACATTTTTCTTTCTTATAAATTAAAATTCTCTTTTTAGTGTATAGATATCAGTTTTTTGTAATAGAATACTGTTAATATAAAAAGATAATACTTTTTTAAAGTTTTAAGAACAAAAATTTTTATTTTAATTTAAAAATTTGTGTATAAATTTTTTTTCAAACTAAAACCGATATAAAACATTATAAAATTGAAATAAATTTAAAAAGCAATTTTTTAAAAAATTAAATATATACATTTTTCAAGAAAGGAAAAAAAATTATTACTTTATAAATCGATCAGTCGCTATTGAATTTAAGGAAAAAATTATTATTAAAGAATTTTCAATTTTTCAAAATTACGATAAACTCCGATTTAAATTCAAAATGTGATTTTTTCGATTTTTTTAAATCATAATTTTTATGAGCTGAGATAATTATTTAAAATTGTTAATTTTTTTTTACTTCTTTTTCCAAATGTCATTAGTTAACGGTTTAAATTGTTAATTTTCTTTTTACTTCTTTTTCCAGATGTCATGACTTCACGGTTTAATTGTCAGGAAAATGAAACGATTGAAGAAGAACATTTGGATAATTCGATTAACATTTATTCGATCGATAATTTCATTATCGCACAAGAAAATCCAATTCCTTAATAAAAAAAAAAAAAAAAAAAATCCAATTCCAAATAAAATAATGGAAGAAAATATTGGAATAGCACCACCGGTACTTCGACCAGGTCAAACATTTGAGTATAATGAAGATTTTCATCTGAAAATTATTAACTTAAATGAAGACTCCTCTGATGATGATGATGATGATGATGATGATGATGTGAACTCCTTGGAAGATGCGGTTCAAATAATTCGAGACGTGAAACCACCGCCTGATTTGAAGCCAATCGATCCGCCACCACTCCTTAATTGTCATCTTGAAACTAACAACATTCCAGATGAAGAATTCTCGGTTAATAATTTGGAATCATCAAAAAATTCCGTTCCAAGAATTAATGACATCAAACCACCGACTGATTTAAAGCCTATCGGTCGGCTACCACTGCTTAATCATCATTTTGAAACTATCAACATTCCAGATGAAGACTTCTTGGTTGATAATTTGGAATCATCAGAAAATGCGGTTCCAAGAATTCTTGGCGTCAAACCACCGACTGATTTAAAGCCAATCGATCGGTTACCACTGCTTAATCATCATTTTGAAACTATCAACATTCCAGATGAAGACTTCTTGGTTGATAATTTGGAATCATCAGAAAATGCGGTTCCAAGAATTCTTGGCGTCAAACCAGTCGGTAATTTGACGTCACGCGAAGTTATGCGTTCGCTACCAGTGCGAAGTAGTAGTGCAACACCTGCAAGACCTCAACCGATAAAACCAGTCATATATTAACAACCACGACTGAAAAGGAATTCGTCAAATTCAATGGTTGTTCCGAAATGGGACAAATTTGCAGAGAGAAAAAAAAAGATATTTCGAAGCGAGATGAGGCCGCAGGAGAAATAACACAGCCCCACAAAAAAAAAAAGTGTCGTGCGCGGCAGACCAGACTAGTCATTTCCTATGTATTTTGACGCGCTGAACACGAATCCGAAGTCCGTTTTGCTCCATCACGTCAGGATTTTTTTCTAACCTCCAAAAACCTGTCGGATTTTGAGAGGTAGGCTATTTTTTTTAAAATTGATGGATTTAATTCAAAATTGGTATCTAGGGGTTTTTTGGGTCGCTGATGACGAATTTGAAGTTAGATTTTCAAAATTCAAAATGTCGGCTCCAATATGGCGGACGAATTTTGTAAAAATTGATGGATTTACTTCAAACTTGGTATCTAGGGGTTTTTTGGGTCGTTGATTACGAATCTAAAGTTAGATTTTCAAAATTTAAAATGGCGGCTCCAATATGGCGGATTATATCGACCCTTCAAAGGTGATAATTCCGCCCTTACACACGAAACTAGGAGCAATTAAACAGTTTGTCAAAGCCTTAGATAAAAAAGGAAACTGTTTCAAATACCTGGAACAAAAGTTTCCAGAAATCTCTGATGCGAAACTAAAAGAAGGTGTTTTCGACGGACCACGTATTCGCAAATTGTTAAAAGATGAGCAATTTATCACCAAGATGAATAAAAAGGAGAAATCCGCAAGGCTTAGTTTCAAAGCAGTTGTCAAAAATTTTCTGGGTAATCACAAGAGTGAAAATTGGGAGCAAATAGTTAGTGATATGATTAAAAACTTTGGTAAGTTAGGATGCTTAATGAGCATAAAGTTGCATTACTTAGACACGCATCGGGATCAATTCCCTGAAAATTTTGGAGATTACAGTGAAGAACAAGGAGAACGATTCCATCAAGATCTGAAAGAATTTGAGCGTCGTTATCAAGGAAGATGGGATATAAATATGATGGCCGACTACTGTTGGATGCTGAAAAGGGATATTGTACCTGGAGGCACCAATTTGAAAAGAAAACCATTACACAGATCCTTTGAGGACAAAAGTGTGCGCTATCATAAAAAGACGTGAATACCTTACTTATGTATATAAGAAATTCCATTTCTAGTTTTGAAAATCTAACTTCAGATTCGTAATCAGCGACCCAAAAAACCCCTAGATACCAAGTTTGATGTAAATCCACCAATTTTTTTAAATTCGTTCGCCATATTGGAGCCGCCATTTTAAATTTTGAAAATCTAACTTTAGATTCGTAATCAGCGACCCAAAAAACCCCTAGATACCAAGTTTGAAGTAAATCCATCAATTTTTACAAAAATAGCCTACCTCTCAAAATCCGACAGGTTTTTGGTGGTTAGAAAAAAATCCTGACGTGATGGAGCAAAACGGACTTCGGATTCGTGTTCAGCGCGTCAAAATACATAGGAAATGACTAGTCTGGTCTGCCGCGCACGACACTTTTTTTTTTTGTGGGGCTGTGTTATTTGTATTTTATCATATTTTATTATTAAAAATGTTTTGCACATATTTCAAATAATATATAAAAAAACAAAGAAATGCCATTTTTAATTATAGTTTCCAGAAGAAAAATAATATTTTCGTTTTTGGCTTTTAACTCAAACGGCATTAAAATAAAAATGAATCACGCAAGAAGATAATTGTTCTTGAATATATTTTAAAGAAAGTAAACCATAAATAAAAGGTGTGCTTGCTATTTGGAAAATTTTCATCTTGATAAGTAAAAATCGGCCGGTTCTGTGGATTTGCCCATATAGTTGTAACGTTGATAATATAAATATTATTTTTAATAAATAATATTTATCGCCTAAAAAAAATTTAAAAATTACGGAAATCCGTCCGTAACAGAAAAGTTGTTTTTTTTTATTTTCTTATTATTTTTTTTTGTCCACCCAAGTTTACTTAATAGAAAGTTTTAACATGGACTCGACGCGCGGACGGGCTAAGTCGCGGCGTTTCCAAGCTTAAGGAACTCTTCTACCAGGCCAGAGCCAGGAGAAGTGTTTATTAATAAGCGAGGAAAGTTGTACTGCCCCTATTAAGATTTTTTAACATGCCTTTAGTCCTCGCCTCGAAGTCTAGGTGGGATAATTCATGGTTTTGGGGGTAATAAGAATGGAAGTAGGGAAAACACACAAGGCCCATTGGACAGTATATTTTGCTGACATGGTTCTTAATCTCACGATGGTCTCCGTGAGAACGGAAATATCAAAAGAAATTTGATATTTTTCTGGAAATATTATTTATATATATTTTTTTTAATATATATTTTATGTTAATGTCTTTTTTTTTGTTAACTATAAGTGGTAAGTCACAATTGCAATGTTAAGTTTAATTACAACTGTGACCCACCCACAGTCACAAACACCGTCATAATCCTGTGTTAGTGCCAATTACAGGGGGTATTTTTCATATTTAATACACCCGCAATTCGCACTCCTCCGGCATTTGAGGGTTGAGGGGATCTCCGTAAGACAGCCATGGCGGCGAGTAAAGGCATGCGGTGTGTGTGTTACCGTAGTACGAAGAATTCATGGTTGTGTTGATACTCGTGAACCGGGAGCCCGTGGTTGTGTGTGTGTTGCCGTAGCCGCCCCAACACATGCTACATCCACAGAGAGAAAGAAATGTTTTGTTTGGTTGGTTTTTCTTAATTTTCAACCCAATATTTGCTTCGACACGCATACATACATGAGAAGAGAAGAAAGAGAAAAGAAAAAAAAAGAATTATTTTAAATTGAAATTCCGCCACATCGCTTTATTATTTAAATTTAAATGGTTACAACACTACCGTTTAGATTCCTTTAATTATTAAATGTCTACACATTTAATTGACAAAATTTATTAAACTTAAACTAGTTTTTAAAATGAATTATAACCAAGTGAATATTATAGGGAAACATTTCTTTCATGAAATCATGCCAGTTCTCTTGAGGCACAGGCAAGCGCTTTTACGTGCTGCTTATCTGTTGTCGGTGGTTCATATTTCATTGCCGCTAGCCTAACCACCAAGCAACAGAACAAGAAAAGAAAAGCGGGAGACAAAACGAAATTAACCTCGTATATACTATATTACTTATAATCGAATTTTTTTTTATGACAAACAAATGACCACGAAATCATATATAGTTAATTTATAATCACCTGCAACCCACAATCATTCATTATCATACAAATATACAGTACTTGCAAAATTTTATTAAATTTGATTTTGGTGTTAAATTCTGAAATCGTGACAATCCACCGTGAAAATTCCGTTTTTGTCCCCAAAAACTCATTGCGCTTGGCTGCGACTCATCATGGTATTATGAGGCGCAATTTCCTCCTGACTTCCGTGTTCCAAAAAAAAATCTTTTTTTTTATTATTTAACATTATAATGTCATACCCAATATTATTTCATAATTTTAGAGTTGTTGTTTTTTTTGTTTGTTTTTTTTTACAGAGTTGTATCCCTACCAACAAGATAAGTGCAGCTAGTAATTATTCCTTATGATTGCGATTGATTACATTTGTTTACTTATTTACTAAATAGTGCCCTTATTATGATGCGGCGATAGAGTTTAAACTTACAGGAACGGCAAGAAGAGACTAATTTCATATATATTATTTTGCCAATTTTAATTCTATGTTGTAGGCAAAATCTTTTCCCCGAATTAATTTATTTAGAATGGGAAGAGACGCTTGATATCACAATAAAATGTACTTCTTTTCAGATGTAGTCTTATTTTTTTTTCTTTTATTTGTTCCGTGTGGAAAATGGTAATTATTAACAAATTTTATAACAATTCATTTTATCAACTGCTTCTTAGAGACGTTAAACTTAGTTCTCAAGAACCTTTATCCCGATGTATTTTCTTTACATCATTTGTACCATGGCAGTTTCCGTAGGGGGTTTGGGATTGCTTTGATACGGTTCAGTCTTATGACTAATGTATGGGCCCTTGTCGCCCCGACTCAGCACCTTGCATTTGCGACTTAGTTGCTCTCTGGCAGTTATCGAAATAGGTTGTCCACTACACGGTCAGAAAAATATATATATATATTTTTTTAGTGCCTCTCCCTCTTATTATTACCTTTTAAATTGTGAAATTGTGAAGTGGAGAAGAAAGAAGTTCCCCCCTTTTTTTAATAATGTCGGAAGAAAATATCGAAAAAGTTTTGCTTGAATTGGAAAGTTCGTGGAATTACTTGGTGAAAAGTTACTGCGAGATGGAAGAGGATAGAATTTCGGATGAAAATAGCGACTTGACATTTTCTAATGAGGACGCAAATGCGAGGGCTCAAAAGATACGCACTCTGATTCCGGGGGAAAGATTCGCTCGACTCAGGGAGTACCTCCTAGGTCGCGTGTATGGCGCTTTTCCGACGGAGGACGGTGGTGCAGGGGATGTCGTAGTAGGCCCTTCATCCGCGATGCCTGTGTTACATCCCGATATAACAAATTCTTTTTCTTCAATTATTAAATTCGCCTACAACTAGGCAACCAAAATTACAATAGCTTTAATTATAATAAATATGGTATATATGAGTTAGAATAAATATATATAATAATTATATATATATATATCATAATTATTAATATATGCAAATACAAGCATATGTCATTAAAATAATAAGTAATTCTTAAATATTATAATCAATGTATAATCTCTTACAGTATATAAAAGATTTTATTATCGATCAAGATTTAATAGACAAAAGATTACAGTCGGTTAATTATCTACATTAATCTCGGTAAGAAACCGACTGTGACTATATGAATGACTAATCGTTAGTCGGTCTATTATCAAGTAATGATGTATGTGTATAAGATGCCGAAATTACAAACTAACTGCAACCATATATCTTTAATGAATTTCGTAATTGTTTAAACAATCATCATTACATTACTTCAATAATATTAATAATAATAAAAACATATATG